GGGAGAGAGAACTCTGTCTTCTCTGCCGATTGAGCAGATGCACTTTGGGAGCCACGAGGGACTGTGACGGGGCAGGTGCAGCCTGTGAACCGGGTGAGCCTCCTGCACCGGTCAGAGGCGGCACAGCAGGCCCTGCCCTGGCAGCGAAGCCGGGTCTGAGCAGGGCCTTCTCCGTACCGCACAGAAGGGCGCTCAGCACTCACGCTGAGACCGAGCAGGAAGTTGCTGTCTCGGGGGATACAGAATCACTTCATAGTGTCCTCAAGAAGAGGCAGGACATTTGTCAACTCCAGATAGGACTGCCGCTACAGGCACAGTGAGAAATCACTGAACATCCCTGGGTTCTGATGGGAAGGCACCTAGTGCAGCAGCTGCAGAGCAGTCTGAGCAGGTCTAGTCTATGCAGCTCACGTTTGGAAGCACTGTCCTCTCGTGAGAGTACCTGGCCAGGAAACCCAGGCTCCCGTCCGCTGTCAGGGAACCGCCGAGCACGTGCCACGTGCGGGCAAGGAGCTCCACACCTTGGGGGTGCCGTTCATCCATCCCTGCGAGGCGGGGCTGTGCTCCCACTCCTGCATTCTATAAATGGACAAGTTGAAGCCCAAGGAGGTCAAAAGGAAAGAGAGAGAGAAAAAGAAAACCTCATGGGATGATACACAGCCAGCAGAGCCAGGATTTGAACCAAGTTATCTGACTCCGAAGCCAGCCTTTCCACCTGCTGTAGTGTATGATGCAGGGGCTTTGTCCCGTTACTGCACTTCCGGCAGGAACACAGAAGGGCTGGAGTGCGAAAATAGGCAACAGGAACCAGTCCTCCCGTCAGCAGGGTGCCCAGGAAGTGAGTTTCACGGGAAGGGCGGGAAGCCAGGATGGAGCGGCCGGTGGGATCAGTGGCCAGTGCCTGGAGAGCCGTTGCCGGTCCCCGGAGACATCGCGAGCGTCTCCCAAATGCCACTCAGTGGTCCGAAGATCGAGCGGCCGTGTGAGCGTCCCTCTCACAAGGGCCAGAGCGTCGGTGGATTCGGTGAACACCGGCTGGACTTTGAGGACCATCTGACTCTAAAAATCTAAGACCCTTAGTTTGGAATCAGAATCTGGGGCAGGGGTATACCCATTGGAAGTGAAAACCTTTAGAGTCTCAGTGAGATGACAAAACTTCAGATGGGCGGGTAACTCTGAAAACCTTTGACCCAGCAGTACTAGAAGGGGACCAGATGAATGCCTCTGCGAAAGCCGGCAGAGCTCACTGCACCCTGCGACCCAGTGAAGGAGGAAGGAGAGGGAGACCGAGCTGAGGCAGGCTGGCCCCGCCACGGGACGCGTCTGGCCGGGTCTGCATCCCCGGAGGGGAGCGTGCAGGATCCCTCCTGACGGCGCTGCCGTCCCGTGCGCCCGGGCAGTATAGGGGAGAGAACTCAGAACGAGCCCCAGGCACATCGCCGCAGAAAAGGCAGAAAGTGTCCTTGACCCGAATCTGGTAGAGGGTCAGGATGAGTGACGTGGGAGTGACCCCAAAGCTCAGCGTACACTTGGCTATTCACACGATGTCCCAGCGGTTGTGAGTGAAAACAGGCCTTTGTCATAGCAACGCTGGCAACTGAAGACATCTGACCATCCTGCGTCTTCTCCAGCCCCACCCCAGCACAGGGGGCTAGTGCCGAGGTCCTACCCCACCCACAAGGTCAGCCAGTGTGGGGGTCTTCACCCCACCCCAGCACAGGGGGCTAGTGCCGAGGTCCTACCCCACCCACAAGGTCAGCCAGTGTGGGGGTCTTCACCCCACCCCAGCACAGGGGGCTAGTGCCGAGGTCCTACCCCACCCACAAGGTCAGCCAGTGTGGGGGTCTTCACCCCACCCCAGCACAGGGAGCTAGTGCCGAGATCCTACCCCACCCACAAGGTCAGCCAGTGTGGGGGTCTTCACCCCACCCCAGCACAGGGAGCTAGTGCCGAGGTCCTACCCCACCCACAAGGTCAGCCAGTGTGGGGGTCTTCACCCCACCCCAGCACAGGGAGCTAGTGCCGAGGTCCTACCCCACCCACAAGGTCAGCCAGTGTGGGGGTCTTCACCCCACCCCAGCACAGGGAGCTAGTGCCGAGGTCCTACCCCACCCACAAGGTCAGCCAGTGTGGGGGTCTTCACCCCACCCCAGGACAGGGAGCTTGTGCCGAGGTCCTACCCACCCACAAGGTCAGCCAGTGTGGGGGTCTTCACCCCACCCCAGCACAGGGAGCTAGTGCCGAGGTCCTACCCCACCCACAAGGTCAGCCAGTGTGGGGGTCTTCACCCCACCCCAGCACAGGGAGCTAGTGCCGAGGTCCTACCCCACCCACAAGGTCAGCCAGTGTGGGGGTCTTCACCCCACCCCAGCACAGGGAGCTAGTGCCGAGATCCTACCCCACCCACAAGGTCAGCCACTGTGGGGGTCTTCACCCCACCCCAGCACAGGGAGCTAGTGCCGAGATCCTACCCCACCCACAAGGTCAGCCAGTGTGGGGGTCTTCACCCCACCCCAGTGCAGTGAGCTAGTGCCGAGATCCTACCCCACCCACAAGGTCAGCCAGTGTGGGGGTCTTCACCCCACCCCAGCACAGGGAGCTAGTGCCGAGGTCCTACCCCACCCACAAGGTCAGCCACTGTGGGGGTCTTCACCCCACCCCAGCACAGGGAGCTAGTGCCGAGATCCTACCCCACCCAGCAAGGTCAGCCAGTGTGGGGGTCTTCACCCACCCCAGCACAGGGAGCTAGTGCCGAGATCCTACCCCACCCACAAGGTCAGCCAGTGTGGGGGTCTTCACCCCACCCCAGCACAGGGAGCTAGTGCCGAGATCCTACCCCACCCGCAAGGCCAGCCAGTGTGGGGGTCTTCACCCCACCCCAGTGCAGTGAGCTGGTGTGGGGTTCTCACCCACCCAGCAAGGTCAGCCAGTGTGGGGGTCTTCACCCCACCCCAGCACAGGGAGCTAATGTGAGTTCCCCCACCCCAGTGCAGTGAGCTGGTGTGGGGTTCTCACCCACCCAGCAAGGTCAGCCAGTGTGGGGGTCTTCACCCCACCCCAGCACAGGGAGCTAATGTGGAGTTCCCCACCCCAGTGCAGTGAGCTGGTGTGGGGTTCTCACCCACCCAGCAAGGTCAGCCAGTGGGGGGGTCTTCACCCCACCCCAGCGCGGGGAGTTAGTGCAGGGTCCTTACAGAGCAAATGGCAGCACAAGCATTTTCAGTTTGCAGGCATTCTTTTCTGCTACTTCATCTCAATATTTGTCCTCATTCCCACCTCATTTGTCCCTTAGCTGTGCTGATGGGAAATAAATGGTCACAGTTACCTTCGCTCTGGGGGAAATTTTAGTGCAGGGATTAAGAGCTCGGGCTGTCTCTAGGCTTCAGATCCTGACACCCGCCTACCTGTGTGGCTTGGCGCACGTCTGCACAGTAAGGTGGTATAGCAGCCTGCCTCCCGGAGCCATTAGAGGATTCAGTGAGGTCACGCTGGAGGGCTCAGCACCTGCCTGCCACCTAGTAAGTGGGCAATAAACCTGAGCTGCTATTAGTGTTCTTGTGCTGTTCCTTGAGAGGTTTCCCTTTGACATGGGTTGGGCGGGTGGCCGCTCCCGGCCACCTGGAGCTGAGGACTTGCTGTCGTCGGCCAGCCCCTCGGGTGCACACTGGCTCGGCTTTACTGAGGGTGGCGTCTCTTTATAGGGGGGCTGCACTTTGAGTCACTCCTGTGTCTTGAGTAAGAAGTAGATCAAGGAATTGGACTTTTTGGATAGTGTTATTATGTGAATACTTTCTTTTTCAATATACTCGGAATTGAGAATTTTCTCATATTGAGATACACCTGTGGCTGGAAAATTGTAACTCAGAAAGGAAAGTGCTGGAATACAGCAAGCCTTGGGGAGGAGGGGCAGGCGCCATGACCCTGGCATGGGTCCCAACCCTGCCCACCCTGGTCTCAGACACCAGAGACCCTGGCGAGAGGATTCGTTCTTCCTGAGGGTGAGACAGTCACTGCCAGCCTTGGACTGGCCGGGCGGGTTGGCTTTGGCTGACCGCTGACCTTACTTCAGTGACTCTCAGTGTGCTAGGCTCAAATCTTGTCATTAATATGAGTCATGGGTCCACAAAAGGAGTATTTGTTAAGATTAATAAATTCTAGCTTATTCCCTCAACAGTTATGTATGTCTTCTTTGTACTTTGCAAATCATTGGGCATATACCATGAAAAAATCAACCCTAGGAGGGCAGGGCTCAGAACTAAAATTGGTGAAGGAGACAGACATGATGCAAGGAAACCAAGAAACATGACATTATGCATTTTATTCATGAAGGATAACCAGAGTGACACTATGAGAAAAATAACCAGGGGAACCAACTCTGGACTGGAAAATCAGGGAGGGCTTCTTTGAGGAGGTGATATTTAAGCTAAGACTGAAAGGGGGAAAATCAGCTAAGTAGCACTGGGGCCTGGGGCATTTCAGACAGAGGGAGCAGCCAGGGTAAGAGCCGTGAGTAGGGCCTGCACCGTGTCCTGTGAGAGATGGTGGCCAGAGAGTGGCAGGAGAGGAAGGCAGGGACAGAATCCTGAGGCCTGGCACTGTGATTCTGTTCTTAAAAGATCTCTGGCCACTGGGTACCAAGTAGATTTGAAGAGGGCAAGAATGAAGGCAGGCAGCCCCCAGAGGGGGAACCGGAGCAGGGTGGGGGACGGCAGAGGTGTGGACGTGGCAGTGCAGATGGAGGGTGTGCCTGCAGGCAGAGCAGAGCTTGTCAGGACCAGGAGGAGGGGCAAAGAGAAAAGCCCCGCCTGCATTTTCATGGCTGGCTGTGCACCTCGTCCTCACGTACCTTTCTCTCTAGGTCGTGTTTTCCCTTATTCAGAAAAGTCACAAACCTTTTGTTTTTTTAACCAGCTTAGTTTTTAGCAAAGCTGAGGGACTCAGGCCGGTCTTGAATCTGAAGCCACGGCCTGAGATCTCACAAGTCACTGTCTGTGTTACAGCCGACCAGGACATCCTCTGAAAGCATTTATTCCAGACCAGGCTCCAGCATCCCTGGGTCCCCCGGTCACACGATCTATGTAAGTATCCACTTCTGCAAGAGACACTCCGGGGCAGGGAGGTAGCAGGCTGTAAAAGTGGAGTGGATGACGCAGAACAGACTCATTCAGAAGGACATCTCTTTCTGTTCTGAGGTGCAGTTTTCATTTTTTGTCAAGCAGCTGTCAATCACATTCTGCTTCAGGTGCGCAGAGTCACCTATGCATGTGACCATCGGTGGAGCAATCAGGTAGATGACCTAGCCATACACTGCAGGACTTAAAACACGGTGGCACCTACACTTTATAAGTATACGCTTTCTAATGCTGATTATTCTTAAATTCTGCCGCAAAGGTATTTAAATAGTTAGTGTATTAAATATGCAGTTCTTGTTTTTAGCCATCTGGGATGATTTTTTGACCATCTGTTTGAGTTTTCCTTCTATGTAGTAAATCTACGGAATCATCCTGAAGGTGTACAGGATTCTGTACTTGGTGAATTCTACATAGACTTTTTCCTACGCTTTAGTGACTTTTTTTTTTAATTGATTTTTTTTTTTTTTTGAGAGAGAGAGAGAGAGAGAGAGAGAGAGAGAGAGAGAGAAAGAGAAACATCAATGTGAGAGCATAACATTGATTGGCTGCCTTCTGCACGCTCCGCACGGGGGATGGAGCCCACAACCTGGGCATGTGCCCCGACCTGGGAATCAAACCGGCGACCACGCCCAGTTCACAGGACCACGCCCAACCAACTGAGCCACCTGGCCAAGGCCAGTGACTTACTTTTTAAATGTGATTATTAGGTGATATAAATGAGCCACTTTCTAAAGACTTCAACTGTGCCCGACCAGTGTGGCTCAGTGGTTGAGCATCAACCCATGCACCAAGAGGTCACCAGTTCAATTCCTGCCCAGGGCACATGCCCAGGTTTGGGCCTGATTCCCAGTGAGTGGCATGCAGGAAGTGGCCAGTCAGTGTTCTCTCTCACTGATGTTTCTATCTCTCCCTCTCTCTTCCTCTCTCTCTCTCTACTAATATCAATAAAGAAAAAAAATTAATTAAAAAACTAAAGAGTATAACCATGCTCAACAAAGTGTTTTGGTTTCTGTTTATTTTTAAGGTTGTCACTTTTTAAGCAACTTATGAAAAGCACAAACAGTCCCCCGGAGATGAGACTGCAGAATAACTTTTCTTTCTGTTCTTTGCCAGGCAAAAGTGGACAATGAAATCCTCGATTACAAGGATTTAGCAGCCATTCCCAAGGTCAAGGCTATTTATGATATTGAACGTCCAGATCTTATCACCTATGAGCCTTTCTACACTTCGGGCTATGATGACAAACAGGAGAGACAGAGCCTGGGGGAGGTAAGAAGTTCCTGCAAGGTGGGAGTGGTGTGACAGCTTGTCTTTTGTCACATGCGTGGAACTTCCGATGGCAGTCCACATAAGTCAGAGGGTCCTTTTGATTGCACGCCATGCGACGCCTTCCATACCAGCTGCTGTGAGGTGCCCAGAACCTGGCTCTGCCCTCAGGAGGTTACAGAGAGGTAAGAGAGCAGGCCGACCACACAGAGAAAAAAGGTGGAGGATGAATTGGGATTTGTACCAGGTTGTAGGTAGTGGCGCGGGCATACTGTGAGCTGTGCAGCAGGAAAGGGGGGAGGGGAGGTCTTGGGGCAAGCTGAGCTATAGTTGTGAGGATCATGTGAGAGAGTACACCCCCTAAGTTTTGACAGCTGCAGTTTTTAGCCTAGTAAGATAATTAGAATGTGCAAAAATAGAAAAAAAACGGAGAGAACGGTGCCACAGTGTAGGAGTACGAGCCATGCTTCTGGAATCACAGTCCCCGCCTTACCCTGGGTGTCCACGTGCTGGTGGTAGCCTTTGGCCATGTGACAACCACCCCGGCCCTAGTTTCTTCATCTGTAAAACAGGATGACAGACGCTTCCTCATAGGGGGACAGTGAGGATCAAATCAACTGAAGATGAGATATATATAATATCCAGACAACTATTGTCTATTAAAGCGCATTTATATTAACTAATATATTGATAATCAGCAGAGAGCCAGGGTTGCAGTGATGATTCCACAAATGACAGCTGTTACTGTTGGTTGTGTCTGTCCTCTTGGGTTTACTAATGCTCGCCCAACAGACCCCTCCTGCTGCTGGACCAGCACCTCTGAGCCCCAGGGTCTCCCCCCGCCTCTTTAGGGTTGAGAGTTTCCTGTTGTCGCCTCCTAACAAGGTCTCTTGGGCTCTGGTCTGTTTCCCCCGGCCTAAATTATTTTTACCTCTAATTTTCTTTCTCCTTTTATTTTTTAAACTGGAATCATCTACAGACTAATTTGAGTCCACTCTGACACACATTACTCAAATAATGGTCTGAAATCAGCCGTTCAACCACGGTGACCACAGGCTGAAACTCTATGTAACATCACTCAGTGCTTTGAGGTCTCACGAGAAGAAAGGGCATGGAAATGTGGTGATTTGTCTAATGTGTTCACAGTTGTTATGTAATATCCATTTTATAATTATATTTATTAATAAGTATGTTTATTCATAAATACAATATCTTGTTCTTTTTATGTATTTTCCAATCTGGGTTTGAGTCCAGAGAATAGCTCAGCATTGAATGGTCCATTGGGCAGGGACGTGATATCTGTTTTCATGTAGTGCCACCTAGTGGCCGCTTTGCTGTAGTTGCATCGGGGGCAGCTCAAGTGCTGGTCGCTGGCCTGGGTTATTCCCTCCCTGGCTTCGCGCCCTGGAGAGTTTAACAGAGGATCAAGGGCAAAGGGAGGATCCTGAACTAAGTGCACCAAGGCTGATCCTGGAGAAAGTGGATGAGAGTTTTCCGTGTTCAAGTAATACAAGCAAGGTGGAGTGAGGTGCTTTATGGTGGTTGGGGTTTGGGGGGTATGTATGTTTCTGTGTGTTTCCCAGTGGTCCATTTTGGGCAGTAAAACAAAACAACTCAAGAGTTTGGGCTTTGACGTGAACATTTCTGGGCGTGAAGCCAGACTGCTATTTACTCACCATAAGACTTTGGGGAAATTACACATTTTGGTTTTCTTATCTATAAACTGAAGGTAGTCCATGATACCGTAAAGGTTTTCTGTAAGGAGTACATGAAATACCTAAATTAGAACAACACCTGGCACATAATACGTGCTCAACAAAAATGCTGGCTGCTGTCATAATCAGCATGCTTACTGTCGAAACCAGGAAGGATGACCTGTGGGTTTCTCCGAGCAGAGCATCTCAGTGGGGGTGGGGTGTCGTCCCCGCCCATCAGAAATCAGACATATCAGAACCCTTCCCAGCACGTGGCTCTTCGGACGTAGAAAGCTTTACAAGCAGCGATGGTGTTTTCCCTCAGTATTGCCACTTTGGAAACACAGAGGTACGCGTGAAATTCTGTGTGCCTCCGAACGCAGGAGGGGGGATCCAGAAGCCTGCCAGGCAGGGACAGCCCTGCTCCTGCCCCCGGGAGCCCCAGACGCAGCTGTAGCTGCAGACAGACCGTGGTGCTGGGGAAGTCTGGCGTGTGGGAGAGCCCAGCAGCTTCTTGTGCATTTGGAGAAAGGGGCACATTCTGAACCTGGTAGATCCACCCGGCCGTGTTCTTCGGAAGGCTTCGTTTGCACTTTGTTTCTAGTTGACATCGTTTTGCATTTTTTTATTTTATTTTTAAAATTTTTTTTTTTATCCTCACCCGAGGACATTTTTCCATTTTTTGTACAGATAGAGTGGGAGGGAGAGAGAGGAAGAGAGAGAGAGAGAAACATCGACGTGAAAGGGACACACCGAGTGGCTGCCACCCGCACAACCAACCAGGGCCGGGGACAAACTGCAAGCGAGGTACATGCCCTTAGCGGGAACCGAACCCGGGTCTCTCTGGACCGCAGGCTGATGCTCTAACCGCTAAGCCAAACCGGCCAGGGCTCGTTTTGCATTTTAATTGTGGACATTTCATTCGTTCACTCAGGAAGTGTTTGTTGAGCCCCTGATGTAGGCCAGGAGCTGCTCTGGTGGCTGGGAGTGCGTAGTTGTAAACGGATGGAGTCCTGGCCGTCATGGCGCTTGCAGCGTAGTCGAGACAGACAGGAAACAGTCACAATCAAATTGTGCAGGGTGCAGGTGCTGTGGGGGAAATGAAGGCAGCAAGGGGAAAGCAGGCTGGGCTGGTTGCCACTTTAAATAGGAGGGTCACGGAAGGAGTAGGGTTCAGACTGACAAACCTCAGGGGAGGGAGGCGGAGGGCAGGGAACAGATAAACCACAGAACTTACCTGCCCGTATGCGTAACCAATGGACGTGGACAACAATGCTGGGGCAGGGTGCTCTCTGGAGGAAGGGGTCTGGGGGGGAGGAGAAACATCCGTAACAGAAATAAATTTATATAAATTGCACACACAAAAACTTTTTAAAAAGCAGATAATGTTATTTTTAAAAATAAAACTGTTGATCTTGTTACTAAAATTAGGGAAAAAATAATTAATAAATAAATGGGAGTGTCACAGAAGGCACTGTGTGGTTGCACATTTGCATGGCGATCTCACTGAAGATGGAGAGTGAGCACCGCTGGCAGAGGGGACAGAGGCCAGAGGCTCTGCGGCGAGAGAGGGCGTGGTCCACTGGGAGCCCTGAGGTGGCCGGTGTGCCTAGGAGGGTGGGAGCCTGAAGGTGAGGCTGCAAGGCCACCAGGGTAGGATGCCACAGACCTGGACATAACCGGCCTCGTTTAGTCCTCCAGCCGTTGTAGGGATGGCTGTGGTTAGGGTTTAGTCAGTCGTCACGTTTACAGAATTCTGTGTTTCAGCAGACACTGTAACTCACAGTACTAAGCAACATAGTATGAGCGTATGGAGAAAGAATTCCAGTTTGTCTGGCTTAACCGCCCAAAGCATCACAACATATTTACCAAAACCCAGGGCTCGTAGGCAGAGATGTGTGCCGGTCGCCAGGAACATTGTCGCTGTGAGCCTGTCTGAGCTGGGAGACGGGGCAGGCAGGGGAGCTGCACGTGTGTGTTTGCAATAGTGTTCCCAGGCAGTGCTGATAAGCAACACTAATGAAAACTGCTACATTGTGATTTTAAATTCTCTTTTATCTTCTAGTCTCCAAGGACTTTGTCTCCTACCCCATCTGCAGAAGTAAGTGCCGTTCTTGAACATTATCATGGGTGGAACTGGGGAGTTACTCAGACCTTTCCTGCACTGGGGTTTGGGGGAAAGGACATGAAATAAAAGAACAGAAAAAGTCTGCAAGATCGTGGCAAATGTGGGGCTCCCTCCATGTAAGACATGCCACTATGGACACAGCAGCACGTTTCTCTCTAACTGGAGACTAGGGGGAGAAAACAGCCGTGCACGGACCCGAGCCTGTGCCTCTGGGTGGCAGGGAAGGGTTTGCAGGGAGCGAGGCCACTTGTCCCAATGTGGGGCTGTCTCCCCTTATCCATAATAAACAGATCTGAATCAGAGCATGCCGGATTCTCTGAAATGGCCCACCGTGGTCACAGTGTGTCCTGTAAGCAGAGCCACCCTCATGAGAGGCCATGCCTTTCAGTCTCGAATCAATCCTCCTCTCCCTGTTCTCAGGGTGAAAAGATCCTACCGTGGCTGGCATCCAGGCCACCAGGCTGGCTAGTGCCTCCAGAATAACCTCTGCGTGCCGGGGTCACGTAGAGCCATCAGTGATCATCTGGTGGTGAGCCCTGGCCCCCATCAGCCCAGACACACCGCTCTACTCTGCAGCATCCAAAACCAAAGTCACAGCCCCTTCTAGTAAAGGTTCTGCTGGAAGCTGATCTCACCCATCTGCAGAATGCAACAACTCCCACACACTAAGCCCCCCAGTTCTAGGAGTTTCTAGGTGTCCCCCACAGACACACATTGACTGCCGACTTGCTGACCTTCTGTTATTGTCCCTGCATAATTTCCTTTGGGGGTGGCTTTGAGGCTGGCGGGCTAAGCGCAGACCGACCCAGATCTGAGCACGGTCCAGCACCAAGTCTGACCCAGCACAGTCTTTCATTGTGGCCATCACAGGTAGTAACCAAGGGACTGCATGTTTATTATGCTTGGTATTATTTTGCATTTCCTTATGTATCCAATGAGCAAACACCTCAGGAGTTAGGTCTACTCCCATCTTAAAAATAGTCATAATTAATAATAGTAACAATAATAACAAACAAAAACAACAGTCTTGTCTTCAAGCCAAGCAACTTTCTGGATATTTCACGTAAAACAGAACTGGTCTTAGGTAATCACTATCATCTGATACAGGGAAAATCTCCAGTATTCTAATGGTTTGTGACTGTGTCCAATGAATAATTTCATTTCCATTAGTACTCTGATCATTACAATTGATGTTATGAAGAATCAACTTCTTCATTGACCAGTTGCAAGGTTCAGGCACATTATTTGGGGACTTTTTTGTTTTGTTGGTTTCATTTGATTTATTGTGACAGCCAGCTAGGATCAAGCCAAAGCCTCTTGTCATTGGCTGTCGGGTAGCACATGGCCCTGGTTCCTGAGGTTTCCCACGGTCATTTTTCACACTCGCTTCCAAACCTTTGTTATGTCAGCAGAAACTTCATGGGTCAACAGATTCCGGAAATGTCAAACATTCTAGTACTCTTCTCATTCTTTTAACAGTCATATATTGTTTGTGGGTGATTTTTTTTTTGTACTTAATACCTAATACATTATTGTCTAGATCCGGATGTAGGCGGCATGCTGTGGTGTCATTGTACTCCAATGGACATGTGCCCAACTTCGTTATTCCCCAATGTGTTGAGCATATGACCCAAAGTGTTGTCCTTATAAACGGTGGTGTTGTAAATATCTCTGAGTACATTTTTCCATTTACTGATCTTTTTTTATGATTATTATTTCCTTGGAATGTTTCCCAAAGTGGGACGTAGAATTACTGGGTCTGGGGCCACCGCTGGCGTGTCCTCCAGGAACACCAGCTTCACCAGATGAGTGTCATGGGCCGTGCGGGCGGGCAGTCAGAGCAAGGGCCGAGCTTAGAGTCGGGGGGCTGCTCCGAGGCAGGCTTTGCCTGTGCGGGCTACACACGGGCGCACAGCTCTCTTAGCTGCTTGGAACCTTCTGGAACACTCTTCATTTGGGGAAAGGGGAGGCCGTCGCACATGCCCTATCTTCCTTATGCAGATCCAATGAAACGATGTGTGCGAACACATTTTATAAAACTAAAGAGCCCAATATAAACATACTCATTAGAATGATTCCCTCTTATCCCAGCGCTCCATCAACACTGGAGTTCGTACTTCTTACATGTTAAAATGTGGATAAATGCAAACACTGTAGGTCTTTGACAAAATGCATGGGCCACGGGATGCTCGTGTGTGTGATATTATGGAATACAACCCCGAAGCGTGTGTATCCGTGAGCAGGTGGGCACGGTAGCTCTGGGTGGCTTTCCTGGACCTCAGTGTCACTGGAGCATGGCGATGGCCCCAGTGCACGTTTTGCGCTCACGCTTTCTCACACCATTTCCAGGGTTACCAGGACGTGCGGGACCGGATGATCCACCGGTCCACCAGCCAGGGCTCCATCAACTCCCCCGTGTACAGTCGCCACAGCTACACTCCGACCACGTCCCGCTCTCCCCAGCATTTCCACAGACCTGGTAAGGGCCACGGATCCTGGGTTCACTCCGCATGACAGTCTGTTTCCACGTGATGTTTTTCCCCATCACTGACAGCTGGCTGCCAAATACTTACCCCACTTCCAGAAAGAAAAAGAAAGAAAATTCACACCCAGCTATAGTTTGTGTTATATCTTTTCCTGAAACAGAATTATTTTACGGTTATATATAAGTATGATTTATTAAATGACTGCATTTTGACAGGGAATGACTGGTAGCAAAGGAAGTCATGTGTGTGTGTGTGTGTGTGTGTGTGTGTGTGTGTGTTTTAGTCCTGAAGAAAATCTCATCACGTTAGACTTAAAATGAAGATCTCCAAAATGAAATATTTTGATTTACCTTTTAGGCATCTCAGCATCACCTAAGATCCAGTATTAGCCATTTGTTGATGGGCTTATTACATTTCCCTTATCCAGGCCCGCAGCCAAGCACCTCCTAGAGTGAAGTGGTATATACAAGCTCAGGGTTGTACCTAACTTTTACGACCCATTCCAACCCTACGATTTTGAATCAGACTTGGCAAACATAGCAACATTAGAGATGTATTGAGATAGACGATATGAAATAGTAATGGACTTCAGTTGACCATTATCTGTGCAGAATTTGGTCCCTATTCGTGGGTGTCTTATATGTGGAGTAAAAAAAGAATGGGGGGTCCCAGCACAGAGCCAGAACTCCCTGAGAAATGGATTTGCAAAGGCAGATTTGGGCCTTTTAAACAAACTCGGTCTTTGGTAATGGCGTACTTCTGTGGAAACTTCATTTTAAGCCTCTGCAAAATAAAACTGAAGGAAATGAATAAAACGTAAAAAGGATGCACTCTTTTCTTCAAAGCCATGGATTTGATGCTTTGTAAAGGATTGAATTTTTATTATTTGTTCCTTCAATAATGTTTTTTTCTCTAGACTCAGTATTTGTAGAGGTTCACTAATTTTCATTTTAAAGTGAGTAAGAATTTTCAGGAAACAAATTCCTTTCTCTTTTCATGTTCAGCTGTATTCATTTCATTCATGTGCTGGACCTGGGTCTGGATTTAAGGCCTTGTCTGTCTGGGTGACAAGAAATCCTTTATGCGGCCACCCCTGTGTGTGGGCATACTACTGAAGTCACGGAGACCCAGCCCTGACCTTGCCAGAATGACATGGGGTTGCCCAGAGATTGTTCCCGAGACCTCTGAGTGGCGAGGGAGTGGTCATTTGGGGACAATGTCTCCTTTCAAGGCCATGTTCTGATTGAGCACTAGAAAGTTTTCATCTGTCCCAGTCACGGTTCTCACGGTAGCCTGTAGAAATTCCCCCATTCTGAGTATCCCTCCTTCTCGCCCTTCACAATATATTACAGATACATATGATGCCGGTGATTGGGGTTCATAAATATTTTGTCGAGGTCTCCCCTTGTGAAGTGAAGCTGGTGGGGTTCTGAGAGTGAAGCTGAGGTCTATATAGAGCACCTCAGATTATCCACTTCGTAAGTTCTGGATACCAGGTGAAAACACGTCCCCGGGCTGGGGTCTAGCTTCATGTCCATTCTTCCGAGAGAACCACACTGGCCCTGCCCAGTTCTCAGGGTCTGAAGCAGCTTTTTCACACCCAGGGAACACAAACAGGGTTGTTGGTTTTTCCCCACGTAAGCAAAATAAAATTAAACTTGCAGTGGGAGGGGTTTGCAGCTTTAAAAAAAAAGAATCTGACTCATATATAAGGACTTCTTTTCAAGGTTCTTGAAATTACTTTTTTTTACACCGGTTTTAGAGGGTTCTGGTTTGTCAGTTGCTTTTTAAGAACAGCTTTTGGGTCTAAATGATGTACCCGGTACTGGCTGACCCACAGCTGGTGTCATCCTGACAGACGGTGTCCTGGTGGCCACTTCTCACTAAAGCCGAGAAGAGAGCGATTTGTACCCATCTGAACCTATGTATTTCCAGTTCTCCCCACTCTGCCTAACCCTTAGCGGGTGCCTTCTTAACCCTTTGCTTTCCTCTTTTTTCAGAATCCTGATTAACTGTCTTTATCCCCTCCCCCCCCCCAACGCTGCGTTGTCCCTGCTCCTGTGTTAATTTCTGTTCTTCTCTGTTTCCCCGCCCCGCCCCGCCTCCTTGCCGCACAGAGCTGCTGTCTCCTGGTGTGCACAGGTTGTCCTACCTGCGCACCAGCAGCTTCAGCTCCGCCCACAGCGACTCCCGCCCCAACTCCCCCTTCCGACACCACTTCATTCCCCATGTCAAAGGTAAGGAGGCAGGCTCTCCAGGCAGCGCCGCCCTGCCCTGCGTAGTGGAGATTTATTAGCACCCTGGGAAGGCTAATAAGGTGCATCTCCAAGAGTTAGCTCCCAGCTTTCCACCTCTCAGCATGCCTGCGTGTGTTATGACTACACCCAGCAGGGTCTTAGAACTGGCATAGCCTCTCCCGTTAGGAGAAACATGTCATTTCTAAGGGCTCTCGATGAAGAAACAGGAAGTATGGTTAAGACCATAAGATGTATCATCTACTCCTTAGAAACATATATATTATTACTTTGGTTTTCTATACGTCAAAAGCAAAATATAATACATAGTTGAGGTATTTGCCTGGTTTTAATATGTGATGTGGCCTGGCAAAACCCAACAGGATTTAGCAACAGATCTTCACAAGTTGTCTCAGTGGTGATAAGTCTCTTAACCACCTGACAACATTAAACGGTCTGGGCCGTATAAAAAGATCGACGGCGACGTGATTTAAATTTCTCAGTCTGAGCCACCTTAGTCTTCTTTTGGCGTTTTCCTGATTTCTGAGGGATGGAGAAGAGAGGCTTTGCCTTCTGTGTTCTGTTCCTGTCCCTCATTTCTGCCCACTCCTTTGATGACATTCCCACTGTTTTCTTCATTGTCCATCATGCTTCTGTAGTAGTTCTCGATGGGGCTCTTGTTCCCCTCCATGTGTTGGGGAAGCCAACAGCCCCGAAGGGGTTAGCAAATAAATAAGTGCGAGCTCCCCCGAGGATGCTAACTCCTTGCATAGTCTTGATTTGGACCAGATTGACTAATGAAAGAAGCGGCCAGGGGGAGTAGCAGGCAAGAACGGGAGTCGTCCAGTCCTGAGGGATTCCAACCCTGCATTCCAGGTGCTTGCATCACTAACACGTGTGTTGCGCAGCCTAAACGCTGTATTTGAAAGATCACTTGCAGTCTACCCAAGCTATTTTCTCTCTGCTCACTGGATTTTTGAGCAACTGAGTCCAAAAATACAGATGCATTGCCCTGATCAGCATGCAGTCATTGTATATGTGCTATTTTGGCATTTTCTGTGCCATGAAAATAATATTGCTGGTGTGCTTACTGAAGACACACACTATTTGCCACTAATGAAGAGATCGGGCTTCTTTGGTAGAGGTAGCACTTTCTAAAATTCTTCACAGATCATTTAAAGTGATTATTGCTAATGAGAGTTTGGAGGGAAAACCTTTTTTATCTAGATGTCAAGATGATACTTTAGACAATGTTTACAAAACCACTAGAAATTATTGAAAACACTTCAGACATGTATTTTCAGGAGGCTTTAATATAGAAGCCCTTGGCCAAATGAAGATTTTGTTTGTGTGTTTGTAATAGGCAAGAGAAAATACACTTTTATGTAAAGCTACCTTGTTTGGTTATGTTTCATCTTTCAGAGGAGATACTTTTTACAGAAAGAAAAATGGCAGGTGCCCTGTAAAGTTATACAAAGTTTGTACACAGAACACATCACAGAAGGTCCAGACTCATGTCTGTGAGCAGCCTTAGGGAGAGGTGGATGGAACACCACGTGGCCACTGGAGTCCTGGGTTTGAGTATTATCTCTGTCACTTGCCAGCTGTGGGACCTTGGGTTGTTGGCTTAACTTTGTGAGTGTCACTTACCTCACCTGTAAAACCACTCCCGGGTCCTTAGGGCACGTGAGGTCAAGTGCCGGCCTGTGTCAGCGCCGAGCTCATGTTCCTTTGTGGTGCCCCCTCAACATGGTGCTCGTGAAGCCCTTCCATCTCTGTGCTCTTCACAGCATCTGTGGAGCAGGCCCAGAGCACAGATGAAGAGCTGAGGCCCTGGGTCACTGGCCAAGGGCTCACAGCCGGGAGGTGGCAGCTCCTGAGCCAGACCCCAGGCCTTCCTCGTGGAGATGAGGTGTGTGCATATCGGTACACAATATAGAGAGAGTTTAATTTTTAAAGCATACTTGTATTTTCTACCCTTTTTTCTTTTATCCTCACCCGAGGACATTTTTGCATTTATCTTCAGACAGAGCGGGAGGGAGAGAGGGAGGAAGAGAGAGAGAAACACTGATGTGAGAGAAACACATTGACTGGTTGCCACCCACACAACCCCAACCAGGGCCGGGGACAAACTGCAACCGAGGTACGTGCCCTTAGCAGGAACCGAACCCGGGACTCTCTGGTCCACAGGCCGATGCTCTAACCGCTGAGCCAAACCAGCCAGGGCTCCACCTCTTTTTAACTAGAAAATTGCACTCTTATTGAGGGTAAGACAAACAGCTACCTCAGTCATGTAAATTATAAAATTAGCAATTTCTTACTTTTCAGTAGAAATTATCAAATGGTTATAAAAATGACAGCACCTCTGTGTGCCTCAGAGATGCTTCATTTAAAAATATGGGTATGCTTTCTTCTCTGTTTTCAGTCTGAATTCGAAGTTTTTGACAGTCAAATATTATGGATTTAAATTATAAAAAAACATTAGGCAAAGAGGCATGAGCACGGCCCTGAACTTACACTTTAAAAACATCTGATAATGTCCCTCCCACTTTTAGTGTGTTCATACGAAATAGTTTATACACCTCAGATGGAAAATAGAATGTACATCACAGGATATGCTTAGTTTTAAAATTAGATGAGCTTTTTGCTGAACTACGAAATGCATCACGGAGAATTTTTATATTAATTATACGGCTTTAAAAGCCTAATATTGTCGCATGTCTAAATGCTGATTCTCCAAAGAATTACTTCTTGGTTATTGTGTAAAAAGGCCTCTCCAGCATTTGGAAATTCCCACATGGAGGGAACTGACGGCCATCTGAGAAACACTTGGGCGGAGGGTCCCCAATCCTCCGTGGCCCTTCATTTGAACATTTACTTTTTATCTGCAAGCTTGTGTTGTGGTCTCAGGGGAGTTTTAAAAACAAATGTCAGCTGGAGAGCTTGAGGCTCCCAGGGTGGGAGGAACTTCCTAGGGGGGTGTAGGGAGAAGGGGCCCCTGCAGCCACTCCAGCCGCCTGAAGCCCAGCCTCCCACTGCCCAGTCCACTTCCTGGTCCTTGTTTCTCATGCATGTGCCCAGGCCCCCGAGTCTGTGGAGCTGAGGATGCCTGCATGGGTGTGAGGCTGAGACGCACATCACAGGCTGGCTCTGTTTCATCGGCTTCCCCATCCACTTTCTGTAACGTCCGTCTTGTCTGCAGGGGGCTCTTTTTCTCTGTTTTCCGACCTTCCTTGCAGCCTCATTCTGCATTGGTATGTCATGGTTGGACCATTTGGACAAGTGCAGCATGCTTGGAGATTTGGGAAAATGACTTTTACTTTGTTTGGGGATCTGTTTGTGCTGTGTTTTCTGAGTTTCTCTTCCCTCCCCTTTGAAATACTATTCAGCGTTACATTGTGTCCATGAAGTATAAATAAATCAGACAGTTGCTGTGGTTCAAGTAAATATTTGACACTTGCTGAAGGGAACCACACCACTTACTAAAGCTTCAGGCAGGAACCAGCAATCTTGAAACTCTGGCGTGAAATTCCAAAGGCTGCCAGTGTTAAGGTCCCCTCACAATATCCGTTTCTGCTCTGGAACATGAGCACTTAGGGCCCAGAGAGCCAAGCTGTGCTCCAGCAGATCCCTGCAGCAGACAGCGCAGCCGCTCCGCTTCAGTACGTGTCTTAGAAGTTGTCCCTTAGACATACAGGGTGCCGAACAGAGGAAGGGAAGTGAGGACAGACCTTTTGAGTTTGTGAAATAAGTACAGTGAGAGTCCTGCATGGGAATAATCTTCCAAGGACTGAAAAATTGGCTGATTAGGCTGACATGGAAGGCCAAGGAATAGATATATTTATATATGGTAGCTTCTCATTACAATAGCTAAGATCACCAACATGTTAGAGTGAACCAATTGAGGATTCATTTAAAGGAACAAAATGGCTATGAGTATGATATGTACAATATTATATATACACTGTTACATTATTTGGCAACAATGTCTTAACTCTAATAATAAAAATACCTTCCATATAGGCTGTTTCATCTAATGCCTCATACATTACTTTGCCTAAGTAATAAACTAAGCACAGGACAGAGTTAAAAGTTTTATCACTTAAAGGTAGGGTATTTAAGTTAACAAAGTTGAAAACAGCCCTGGCCCGTTTGGCTCAGCGGTTGGAGCATTGGCCTGCGGACTGGAGAGTCCCGGGTTCGGTTCCCGCTAGGGGCACGTACCAAAAAAAAAAAAAGTTGAAAACAGGTCTCATCTTGAGAATTTTTCTCTTTGAAAAATGCCAAAAGGTTGTAATGCTGTTAGTGTTTCAAGGGCAAAGAATGGGGTACCTAGCAGCCCTATGTATTCTGAGATCTTATTCCCAGTGAACCCTTATGACGTGAAATCATACCACGCAGAATCGCTTACATGGGTGTTTGCTGGGTCTCCCTTTACCTCACATTTTAAAATGTTTTGTGGGAGGTTTTAAATGAGTATAGAGTTAAATCTGCTTACAAGGACTTGAACATACAAGTGCTTGTTCTAGGAACTAGAAAGGTCAATGGTGGCTGAAGATATGCAGCCAAAGAAAAAACCAGCTAGAGCCAGCGTCCAGCCAGAATGCACCCCGGGAGGTCAGAGAGCCGTTGGCCGCATCCGAGACGCGTGACCCGCACTGCCACTCACCGGCGGAGCCCTTTAATGACAGAAAGATTTTACTACGTGGGCAGATGCCGATTCCAGTCACCTGAAAGCTTTGTGTCCTGTCTATGCAGATACCTGTGCAAACGTTCCCCTGAAATAGCGGATGTGCAGGTTTATGGGGAGGTTCGCAGTGAAGGGGGGAGCAGTGGGGCTAGAGCAGCAGCAGCCAGCGCTTGGGGCCTGCAGAAAGCATCTTCCAGAAACAGCCTCAAAGCCAACGCTCCGTCTCCCTGGAACTGCTTGGGAGTTTAGCCCACAAGGATTATTCTGTTTTTCAGTTACGGGTTACTCTTCTGAACAATTCCCTAGTGTTTAGAGGAGCAAAGAACTCTTCTGAAATGAAACTATTAAGTTGGGGTTATTGGAGACTGACTCTAATGGGAAAGTTAAAAAATGGGGTGTGATTGTGATCCCATCGCTGCCTTTAATGAAGAGCAAGATGACGGTGAACCTGGCAGTGGTGCTTACGTCATCCGGCCGTTCACAGCTGCAGGATTGACCGCTGGCCTCCGTCGGCCTTCACTCACAGACGTGCACTGTGCTGAGCACGGAGATGAGTGAGACCTAGTTCCAGTTCTTCCTTAGATTTGAACTAGGATTTTCTTCTAAACATAAAGTCTTCCTCCCCTGCTTGCCTCTACCTGTGTTAATTATACTCATTTTTTAAAGACCTGAACTGGTTACTTCTCTTTAGGAGAGTGATAGTCAATGAGGTAATGTTTATTGAAATTAGCTTCTTAAGACATCAGCGGTTGGGAGGAGGCTTCATAATCTTTAGAAGCTAATATCGGAGTAAGTAGTGAAGTCTGACTCTACCATTGGGAGCTAGAGGCCCAAGTGACTTAGAAAGAAAAAAACAAGACAAAAGCTTCAGCACGTGGTAACCGAAAGCCTAGAATATAAATATTTGAGCCAGTTAACAAATTCAGATCTCATACCCGAAATATCTCCCTGCCCGTTTGGTACAGATCTGGGCTCTAAAAATACACATATTGAGAAATTAAAACTTATGAAATGTGCTATTTTAAAACTCCAGCAATGGACATCTTTCCATTTTTGCCGGCCAGATTCAGAGCAGTTTGACCCACTGGAAGAAATCAACTCTTGTACATCTAAAATTAACACAATGTGTTATGTCGATTATCTCTCTTTTTTTTTTTTTTAAATAAAAAAGACACGGTGGGAAAAATATCGGCTCCTGCTCTATTATTTGAAAATCTAGGATTTGTTTTAAATTGTCACCGTTAACAAATAGAGTAGTCTTTATCAAAATTTAAAACTTGTGCTTTGAAGAACCCTATCAAGAAAGTAAAAGACAACCCCCAGAAGGAGAAAAAGTGTTTGTACGTCATGTGTCTGATAAGAGATTTGTATCCAGAATATGTAAAGAGCACCTACAAATCGATCATAAAAGTAATGACATTACCAGTCATACCTTTGATAGCCCTGCGTCTTCTGGTGTGTTGTAGGGACAGGTATTTGCTCACATGTGGGGAAGGAGGACAAGGTAGGGCAATAGCAGATCTCTTTCCAGCTTCCCACAGTTCTCGTCTCGCCCGAGGTTCTCGTGGTCAGAGGGGGTGCAGCCCAGCCCCAGCAGTCCTTCCGGACTTGTCCCTGTCCCCCCATCGGAGGCACCACCTTTCCAGCCAGTGGCCAGTCCTGTTGCTGCCACCATGACAGCCCCCCGTACCTCCTTCACAATGTTCCCGCCCTCTGAATCTGAGCACCCCCCTTCTGCCACCACCCACTGGGGAAGCCTACTCTTACATGCCCCAGTCAATTCTTACACCTTCCTGTAGCTTTGCTGAAGCATGTATGCTGTACACCTTTATCTGCATGTCATAATTTTTCATGTACCTCTAAATACTGCTACATGGTATTATATTTATGTACCTCAAGTCTGTCTCCTGAGGTAGACTCTGGGCCCCTTGAGGTCAGGGACTAAATCTCATTCATCTACTTATCCTCCGCCATAGCTCAGTGCCCAGCTGTAGCAGGTGTTCAGTAAATGTTTCAATGAAGCAGTTGTTACACTGTGTGGAGCCTCATGGAAGAGAAAGATGGAGAGAGGTATAAATGGTCCCACCGTAGCTGGAAAAAAGGAGTCTGACTTACTTGGTGTATTTCAAAGTGAGGAAACAGAAACGTAAGCTGCAATGAAGGCTTTCTGTGTTGCTAAGGGGAAGGCCTGGGTGACGGCACCGGCTCCCAGACTTAGCCTTCCGTCCAGAGAAAGATATTCCAACCGCCAGTCTCTGCCATCATGCCTGGAAGTGATTGTCTTTGGGTTGCATATCCCGCCCCTTCCCATGCTTGGGATTTAACCATCATTAGCAAGTGCCTCTCCTTTCCTTGCGACGGACTGCCCCCCAGCGCGTGCTGCCCGCTTGCAGCCTCCGACCACACGTGGCTGGCATGACGCATCTTGCTGTCGCTGCACTAACCTTATCCCTGGGGCTCAGATCTCCCTCTCGGAAAACTAAACCTTCCATCGCCTTTGCGAGCCGAGCTGATCAGTTGAGTTTGTTTCTTTGCTTCCTCCTTTTCTGATGTACATCCTTCCCGTTCGTTGTTTTGAATTTTTATTACGCTCGCTTTGTTTTCTTGACTGCTGTCCCCTCTCTCATTTTGTTCTCTCCATTCTTCTCCTTGGAGGCAATGAGCCGTCCAGCGGCCGGAACTCCCCTCTCCCCCACCGGCCAGACAGCCGCCCTCTAACTCCAACTTACGCTCAGGCCCCTAAACATTTCCATGTTCCAGGTAGGAGCTGACTCGGTCTATGTCATGGTGTCCTGTCGCAGTGTGGGGTGTGTCCTCGTCACCTCTGTCTCGTCTCCATTGCTCATGCTTTTAACATGGGGCTGCACACAGCTGACACACCCTGAGCCGCAGGATCTGAGCTGGGGAGAGCCTTTCAAACATGTTGTCTGTAAAACGCCAGAGTTGCACTGAAGGGTTAAGTCTCCCCGAATTATTTTTCAAAGGGGCGTGGGAGGCAGAGGGTGAAGGAATGAGGGTTGTTTTGTTTTCACTGAAATTTTAACCTCACCTTTTATATCAGCGGCTTCTCAGAGATCACGCTGTGGTTTGGTGTCATTGACTAATGATCGCCATGGTGATCTAGTTACCTCCTCATTCTGAAGACCGAACCACAGCGGCCCTCCCGAGTGCTCTGATTTTTTCCTGTTTGTCTCCAACGTGGAGATTCTTCCTAGGAACTTTTCTTTCCGGAGAGGTGTAAAATGAGACCTGCAGGGTGGTCTTTCTGCGGCGTATTACTAACTGGCCACCCCCGAAGCCCGCAAAGACATCTTGCAATTTAGGCTCGGTGCTACCAGCTTCGCTCTGTGCTCACAAGCCTTGGCCGTCACGGCACAAATAGTAGTTTGCCACCCGGAACTGGAAAAATCAGAAGCCATCAGTATCGTGTTTAGGGTCAGCTCCATTTGTAAAGGCAAGACTGGCCATCAGAAGTCCCGATGCTATTTTTCCGTGGGAAGTACATGGTTTTGCTGCGTTCAGCTACTGAAAGCGGTTTAACACATCACCCACGATGTTAATGTTGGTACACATATTTGGGATTTGACATCGTTTTTTCCTTTTGCATTCCAAACTGACCTAGTAGAACCTTGAAAACCAATGTGATACAGTTGAGCCTTTTTTTTTTTTTTAACGCCCAACAAGATATAGTGCCCAAGGTTCTGGAGAAACAAAGCTTTTGAAATTTCCTGAGTATTTGTGCTCAAAGTGAAATGTAGCATAATCATATGGTGTCCTGTGTAAATATATGAATAATATTTGGCATCTCAGTCTTTTTCTTTTTTTTTAAATTTGGCCTATAGAAGTTAGGAGATAGTCGAACATCTGGGTAGCGCATCAGACTAGCCTTGCACCTAAAAAGTGTTTCTGTGTTTTTAAAAATATTACTCTTAATTTTACGACATTGCTTTCCACTGTTCCACTCATTGGTTGAAAAATAAATTGAGCCTCTGGTATCTACTGGGAGCTCAATTTCTAGACAGTAGCAATTTGGGGATTTTCCCCAAACTGGTTATGTCTTCTTCACCGTAGAGTACCCCCCCCCCCCGCTTGTTGTTTCTTCCTGTTGGTCCCACTTGTAGTGAAGTGTGTATTTGAAATAAATGGCTCATGAATTAATGACATCTCTGCATATCCTAAGATGTATTACAAAGGATTTCATATCACTTGTCCGTAGTAATTCGCTCATTCCTATAATTTCTTCTCCCAGGAGCTTTACTCTTTGTAATACGAAAGTTTTACCGTCTGGGTTATTTGTGTTCAAGCGTCTTCAGTTTGGTTTGCCTCTTGGTTGATCTGTTTTTCCCATCGCTGAACTGGTTCCCATAATCACACACCTTTGCTTTTCATTTCCACAGATCAAGGAATCAACATTTACCGAAAACCACCCATCTACAAACAGCATGGTAAAACCCGCTTTCCGCGTTAGCTTTTTAAGTAGCAGCATCCACCAAACTTCTCTTTGCTGTCCTTGAAAGGCTTATTATCCGCCGCTGCTTTTGAGAATCAAACTGGGTGACCAGCCAATTTTGTATGCATTGGTGTTCTCTTGAGATGCAAATGTCGTCCAATTGGTGTTCCTAAATGGACACTTACCTTGGTCAGGAAGCATCTAGCTCAGTAGTGAGCCCTTCACACCATCATCCCATCATTGAGGAGGGGAAGGACGAGCCACACAGTAATTCACAAACACCCTTACAAGGTGTGATTTTTTTTCCTTGCCATTAAATAATTTAACCAACCCCTATAACAATTTTGGTCAGCATACAATTTAACTAATTAAAACTAGTGGAAGCCAGCTACCTGGAAATATTAATTTGACTAAGCCTACATCAGCTCGGCTGTCCAGTTCCCCAGTTTCTTACGGAGAATGAAGAAGACACCGGTTCCCTGGGGATGGAGTGGATGGGACACACACTGACACAGAGGTCCTAGCCCTCGCTCCATCCCCTCACCTAAACTGCTCTGATTTAGGATGTTGTGGACACAAGTCCTCTGTCGCTCAGTTTTCTCATCTGTAAGACCACCGAGTCAGGCGAGTTGGTCTCTGAAATTCCTGCAAATCAAGAATCACGGCTGTGGATTTATAATTGTGCTTTTCTTTTCTGGGAATATGGAATTTTGAAACCCAGGAAATCATATTACTATATGTAAATTACATTTTCCATGATTAGGTCTCTAGAGGTTTATCTGCCATAAATCTTCGTGAATGGATTTCCCTAAAGCCAAGACTGGTCTTTAAGTGATTTCAGAAAATTATACACAAATTGTGCCTGGAAATTTGAAGGCTGCCTTTAAAACATAGCTGGCATTAATGAATCCTTAAGGATTAAGATGACATGAAAAACGAAGTTGAAAAAGCACGGGGAAAACATTTTAGGCCTACATTCTAGGGGGGAAAAAGAGAATGTATGTATTGTAATGGCTATTGAACTATGACTTCCTTCATTATCTGTTTTTGTGTGTGTGGTGTTTTTTGTTTTTTTTTAAAGATTTTACACCATGAGCTTGGTTTTTAAGTTTGTTAACATTGTTTTTTTGTTTTTATTTTTTATGGTTTAATGTCTTCTCACCCATTCATTAACATGTGAATGTTTACTGACTTCACCAATTCTAATGAGTAAGTACTGTTTGAAGTCATGCTCCCCCCCCCCCCCCAATTTAAGAATAAAATTCCCAGAGTTTGAGTTATCAATTTGGAAACATTTTTAATACTAAAATCTTACGGCTCTGGCTCTCCAAACAAAAATAATCAAATAATTAAGACTAAAGATGGGATAATATTAGATTATTTATTTGGAAGGGATTAATTGGCTTCTTTTCCTAAAATTTACTTTGACTTCACTCTTTACTTTCCTTCAGACTCTTGTAATTAATTAAGAGCAGCACAGCCAAAGCTGTGCTCCGGAAGGACATGCTGCAGAACAGGAACAGGGGTCACACCCAGGCCTGGTGTCCGTGCCCTGTGCATTTGGAGAAGGCTGGATTGAAATGAAGTCACACTTCTCTTTTTCTCTTTTGTAATGCAGAACTCAGTTTTTAATACCCTAACATGCTGTGTTCTTCTTTAAGAAGAGGATATACTATACAGTGTTTTCCAATCTGAATTTTTTTTTTTTTCTCTCCTGAGGTTAATGATTCAGAGAAACACTGTTCCAAGCCTGGCCAAGACCTTATTCTTTATTATTACAAAGGCTGACCTGGGTCAAGTCACTTAGGTGAACCGAGACCTGGACATTTTCTCCAGGAAGGGGACTTAGCACTGAAGATTCAGAAAGCTCTTTCCAGATTCAAAACTCTGTGACCCCAGGGAGAGAGGACGTTGTATTTAAAGCATTATAAATATGTTTTGAAATGTTTATTAACATCCCAGGTCACTGTGCAGAATTAGCCAGAATGTATCCCGGTTTGTTTTGCTTCATCTCTGTGATTAGATTTGGGGCTCAAAGCCAAGGACTCCTCCTCTAAGCAGAGCCATTCAGAACCCTGTGCACGAATGCTGCGGCCCGTCTGCCTTTGGTTATGTAGGAGTTGGGCACCTTACTTGTGCGTGCAGACCCTTGAACAAAGCAGTGAGTGGGCAGAGCAAACGCACGTCACAGCGCTACGTTCCTGCCAGCTGAACGTGGGTTCCCCACTTCCATGTCTCTGGGACTCAAGGACACATATGTACTATAGAAGGGTTAAAATGAACTGGGCACGCTTTGCACAGTGGCAGTATCGTAGCCAGTGAGGTATATCCGAGGCACGATTATTATTAATTGAAATGATGAGTAAATAAACGAACTGGCGAAGCAGTTCAAAAAATAAAGCCCACCAGCCCGCTTATGATGAACAACTACAATGAAATGACAGTATCGTGTCTTTAGCTTAGCTTTTTTTTTTATCCTCACCTGAAGACATTTTTTTATTTTTGTTCAGATAGAGCGAGAGGGAGGGGAGGAGGGAGGGAGAGAGAGAGAAACATCGACGTCAAAGTGACATATCGAGTGGCCACCTCCTGCACAACCCCAACCAGGGCCGGAGATAAACTGCAGCCGAGGTACAGGTCCGGCTTAGTGGGAACTGAACCCAGGTCTCTTTGGACCGCAGGCCAACGCTCTAACCGCTAAGCCAAATGGGCCAGGGCAAAGAGTATGAATTTCAAATGACTAGTTCAGATGTCTGATTGCTCTGGGTGTTTGTGTAATACAAGTTTCTAGGATGATGGAAATGTTCTATAACTGTGCTGTCCAATATAGTTGCCACTAATCACATGTGGCTATTGAGCACTTAAAATGTGCAACCGAGTTGTGGTTCAAGGATATGTTTCATTTAATTGTATTAATGGAAATGGCCACGTGCAGCCAGCATTGGCCATCACAGCTCCAGAGCAGACATAGAACAGATGTCATTCCACAAAGCTTTGCTCCTGATGGAGCATGAGGAAGATGAGTTGCGCTGTCACTGGGCACCTCTGAGTGACCGGACAACGGATAATGGCGATAAGCAGAGCTCCTTGGAGTGGAAACTTTTGCCAGACAGCAAGACCATGTGAGTGGGTTTACCACCATGGCCTTGCAGACCGGTAGCTAAGCTCCCCCTGATTCCACCTAGATGCAGCTGCCTTGGCAGCCCAGAGCAAGTCTGCAGAGGACATCATCAAGTTTTCCAAGTTCCCAGCAGCCCAGGCTCCAGACCCCAGCGAGATCCCAAAGATTGAGACGGACCACTGGCCCGGTCCCCCCTCGCTTGCCGCCGTAGGTATGCGACTGTTACAACTAAGCCAGACGGACAGGGTGCCAGGAGATTTCAAAGTAAAATGCTTAAAAATATGCAAAAAAAAAATGTGTCCTAAAATAAAGGTGTTTAAGAAAAGTACAACCAAGAGGCAGAGTAGTGGAAAAGAGCTAATGTATTCGTGTGTGTGCAAAATGCATCCAAGTTACAAGCAGTTGATCGCCAGAGCTTGCTCTAACCAAACACCAAGATGCAGAACTAGTCTAAAACGGATAATGCGTACGGACCCTTGGACATATTACTGCTAAGTCAGTAACTCTTTTGAACACTGTTGTACCACAGCCTCTTGGCAAAAACGTTGTTCTGTGTAATTAGAAATTGGTGGGTGAATTAACCGAGTGTCCACAGAAGTGGGACTTCTTTCCGTCACATTGGTTTTCGACTATTTCTGGTTGTAATTACAGTTCTTTTAACAACCAGTCTTAACACTGAAGCACTTTCACTTTTCTTACGAGATCACGTTCTCCGTGTCTAGGAAGGGCTACGACAGAGTAATGCATGTTCTGAAATTCCTCGTGTACAGTTACATGGTTTTACATCTGTCATTCCCATGATTCTGTGCTACAATTGTCCCATTTCAGCTGTTTCATTCTTTGCTTTGAGCCACAGATTTATGCTTTGGAATCATGTCTGTGCCTTTACTGTTTTGTCGATTGTGAAATCGCTTGGCCTAAAAAGTGGTGTTAACAAACTCAGACGCTAATACTGACAATTTAGCAAGTTGGCTCTACCGAGATATGACTATCTTATCACATTTCTGTTGACAACCTAAAAGGCCTTCAATTTTCCAAAATTTCCAAATTGTTTTCATCGTGCTATTTTTCAATCAAGTTATTTTTCGAAGAACTTTTACAAGCAACGTAAGTAGATTTTAAAGCAATTTTCATGTATAGAAACAGTTGAAGGAAAAATCTAACCCGGGTTCATTGCTCACAAGCATTCCCTACATGATGTTGATTTGAGATGTATCTAATTCTTGCAAACTTGTGTTTATTCATTTTTATTAGTATGAAGAGAATATTCACCTTGACATTTATGATTTTAGGAATTAAGAATCAGTCATCAGCTTGTCTCTGCTAGGCAGTTGGGGGGCCTTTGAGGTTCCCAGTTCGGTCACGTTGCTTAGAGGGGATACCAACGCAGCCAGACCCAAAGTGATAGGAGAACTAACATTTTGTTGTTGAAACTGTCATCACCAAATAGTTTAAAGCTCTTGGAGTTCCAAAATGGAGACAATTTCTGGTCCATTAATCAAAATAAGAAAAACTGAGACCATTCAAGTTTGTTTTGATTAGATTAGCAAGCTTTCCTGTTCCCTCCCACAGCCAGAGTAATCCAAGCAATTTAGGAAAAACAGTTATTATCTTAATTTTCCAGCCATTTAGACAGATTCTTCCTTCCCACCCCCGTCTCCCCTTTACCAGGAAGCTTAAAAATTGTACATGATTTCCTATACTGTACCAAAGTAACTTTTTAGCTATATTGCTGTGTCGAGAATTGTTATTGTTTTTATTAGTAGAACACTTTTTTGTGATCATTTTTCAAAGGATTGAGAAAAAGGAAGCATTGGAGACCCATCCCTTAAGGGAAAAATTAGAAGCATACTTGTTAATGAGTTATTAAGGGTAGAAGACAGGGTGATATTATTATCGCAAGCCTATCTGTTTGGCAAAAGAGAAAACTAGAAGATTTTTACAACTTGTCATAAAAAGTGATTATTTAAAGGTATATGGGTGAATTTGGATTTCTCTCCCTTTGAACATTGACCCCAGGGACATCAAAATAGTAAGTGCAGATGCCCCTCCCACTTCCTACGAGAGCTCTGACCAGTGGTCAGTGGGATGGCTGCGACCCCATCATAGTGTTTGAGTTGAGCAGACTAGTTATTGGGAGGCCAAAATCTACGCTTCCCTGCGTCCCACGTTCAACCGGCTGGTCAAACACACCCGCTGTCTCGAGACACCAGCCATGGTGCCGAGTTGGTGGCAGGCTCCTTTCTTGCCTTGTGCTGTTCATTAATGGTCAAGACCACCGCCGACGTGGACAGCCTGACAGGCTGAGCTCGGTGGACGCGTCCTGCACGATCCCCTTGCCAGGAAGCTAATGTGAGAAGTTGTCTTTGCTGTGGAATTAGGAGCTGACCCGAGGCGCCGATCTAGTGGCAGAGAGGAGGACGAGGAGGAGCTTCTGAGACGCCGGCAGCTCCAGGAAGAGCAGTTACTGAAGGTTTGTCCTGAAGCTGCTTTGCTGCAGTCTTCAATTCCGTTCTTCCCGGTCCGTGTTTTTGGAATGACAGCTCTGGGCCGGCCGCCAAGATGAGCAAGAAGGGGTCCCAGTGCCCACGAGCTTGCTTCTAGCGACTGTAGCACGACAGAGTACTCGGTGGCTTCTGGAAGAGATGACCCGGAGGCTGGAAGTCAGAGGGACATGTCATGGTTGGGCTTTTGCAGGGAGAGTGAGGACCTGTGCGGGGATGTGAGTGTGGTACGTGTGTTGAAAGGATGCTGGAGGGGAGGTGAGCCAAGGTGTACACCCACGTGGTTCAACACCTTCCCCGTGCAGGCTCTATCGGAGGAGTTCCCTTGGACTTGAGGTCTTCTCCAAGTCTTTCCTCAGGAGGCGTAGGGCCTTGTGTGTGGGGGGGGGGGCAGGAGAGAAGGGATAAAATAGACTGCCACCAAGAAGCCCTCATCGTCTCCCACCTCCGGCATGGCCACAGCAGCCCGGGAGACCGATAGAAAGAGAGGCAGTTACAGCCTGCGATAGAGGGGGCTAGGAAATTAGACCCTCTCCCACCAACATGGAGCTGATGCGTCCCTTCAAATGACATTGTCCAAAGATACTTAATCCTATGGGCAATGCACGTGATACCGTCGTATGGGTAGGACATGAAGCTGCAGTTTGTATGATATGTTTATGAAAGGTCCTGGGTGGATATAAAAATGTAAATGGGTGTCGGAGTGGTGGGTTATGGGTGGTTATTCTCTGAGTTCTCTAAAATCTGTACGATGAGCATGTATTACTTTTTTCCTTGTTTTTAAACAAATCAATATAATTTCTCTTTAAAGGCTACTATCTCCAACCCCCCCTTTCTACATCAAAAAGCCACACACTCTCACACATGCCTCCTGAGGTCACCTGCTGGCAGGTGAGAACCTCCTCCTGGTAGAACCCGACTGGGGGAAACGCAGCCCAGGCTTTGGAAAGGCCGAGGGATTCGAGGTCCAGAACCTGGCCCAGCTCTTGAGACGCCAACAGGCTCTGAGACTATCCCTCCCGGTTTTGCCAGAGTTGGGAACTTTTTTTTTTTTTTTTTTTTATCCTCACCCGAGGATATTTTTTCCATTTTTTGTACAGATAGAGTGGCAGGGAGAGAGAGGAAGGGAGAGAGAGTGAGAAACATCGACGTGAAGGGACACATCGAGTGGCTGCCACCCGCACAACCAACCAGGGCCAGGGACAAACTGCAACCGAAGTACGTGCCCTTAGCGGGAACCGAACCCGGGTCTCTCCGGACCGCAGGCTGATGCTCTAACCGCTGAGCCAAACTGGCCAGGGCAGAGTTGGGAACTTTTTATAGGACCTTCTAAAAAGAAATGACGTTTTTCATGAAAGAGATTGCAGCCTTCCCTTCCATTCCCGTTTCTCTGTGCGCAGCTCAACTCGGGCCTGGGGCAGCTGATACTGAAAGAAGAGATGGAGAGGGAGAGCCGGGAGAGGTCGTCCCTGCCGGCCGGCCGCTATGATTCGCCCGTCCACTCAGGTGAGCGGTAGACACGCCACCTTCCCGACCGAGAGCCGGCCGCCGGCCTGCCAAGGGCCGGCCTGGACCGTTCCGGAGAGGCAGCGACATTTCTGGTGGAAGCCACCGAGTGTGCGACAGAGAAGGAAGCGTGGGAAACCCACGTCACATCAGTTTACCTGAGAGGCCTGTCTTGGTTCTTCCTTAAATGTTGTTTCCTTTCTGCTGCAAGTGGGGGGCCCTTGGAGGACCTCAAGGACACAGGGGTTAGACTAGAGGGGTCATCTCAGAGGGAGATGGCATAGGGGAACCCGCAGGGAGCAGCATGCTTTCTGACTGTGGAGAGCGTGGACCACGTTTCCTAAGCTTTATAGCTTTACGTTGATGTATCAGTACAAGAGCTGAAGACGAACAGTATTGTTCTGACACTGTTGAAGGACGTCACTTATATGCTGGCTGAAATAGTCTGTCGGTTATTTCCCTGCTTGTATTTGCAAAAGCCAGTTCTCTCTTAAACCTACAGGATTTCTTCTCCCACACTGTGGGCTAGGGCCTGAGTTTCTCTCCTGAGGGTTCTTTAAAAACGGGTTTACTGTATGCAGGCGTTTTTGCTAAACATGATTTCACTTAATCTTCAAAATGTGCCAATGAAGTAGATAATATTATCCCAAGTTTGTAGCTCAGGTGTAAGAAGCTTAAGTAATTTACCCAGGGTCACATGGCTAGTAACTAGCAAAGATATAGGAGTCCAAGTATTATAACAACAGAGCCCACAGTCTTAACCTCTCGCAGACGCCTCCTTGGCCTCGACCTCGGAGCGGATGGTTTACTAACCTTCAGAGTTCCATTTAGCTCTGCAGTTCTGTTCTGTAAGAATATATCGCACTATATCTACACGGGTCAAGAAACAAAGACTTATGAAGATGAAATACCATTCAGAGGTGTTATGTTGCAGAATGCAAGCCCTGGTCTACTTTCCCCAAAGCCCAGCAGTTTATGGGGTGTCCATGCTGTTGATGAGACACCCTGTCCCAGGAGTCCAACTGCAGCTGGCCAGGAGACCTTGGTAACTTGCACGGTTGACTTTTGGGTCAAGGGTTGCTGCCATATCAACTGAGGCATGTTCTTATACATCCAAGTAGCCCCGAGTTCAAATCATTGCTCAGCTGTTTGCAAACTGAGCAACCTTGGGCAAGATACATAACTTTCCTTAGTTCCTATTTCTTCTCCTGTAAGATGGAAATAATTACAATATTATTAGGGTTGTATTGAGGATTCATAGATAAAGTATGCAGGGCCCTTCTCCCTTCCTCACCTCTCCTTAGTGACGTCACTGCCCAACCATTCTCTGCTTTGCCCAGTTTGGTGGCACTTGGTAAACATGTCAGCCATGCTATTTGGATCTTTTTTCCTAACTCTTCTCTTCTGCAAGGTAGAAGACACACTGCCCATTGCGTTAAAGAACGGGACTTCCTGTTTCCTAACAATTGCTTTTGTACCTTTATCTCCCTTAGCTTCACACGCTGTGTCGTCGAAAACCTCCTCTCTCCCCGGCTACGGGAGGGACGGGCTGCACCGGGTAAGAGACCCCAGCATGTCCCCCTTCAGCCTCGGTTGAGGGGCTGACACACTGTCTGAATTCGTCCGACCTGCTGATCTCAGTGTGAGCAGATCATGACAATTGTAATCTCCCTGGTCTGGTAAATCGCTTGAGTTATGGGCAAAAGAAATCTTTCTATTGAAAGAAAAAGAAATTGACTTTAGATTTTTTTAAAAAATAGCCTGTGTAAGTTTATGGGAAGACTAGGTTCAGTAATAGGGTGCAAATATTTCTGCAGTCAAGCAAAACGTGATTATTTGAGCCTTTATCTCTGCTGTAAAATATATATATATAAAATTTTTTTGCCAGCCCCCTCCCCACAACACGTGGAATAAATGCAGTTGTGTGCCTGTGCGGAGAAACGTTCTATTATTTATTAGCAAGAGGAACGTGCTCACCAGGGACCTGCTGAGCAGCGGCACTGGCTGTACCAGGAAAGACAGATTTCACAGAAATAGGAGAAATAGGGAGAAAAAATATGAGGGCCCAAGACTTCAGCTTGGGCAGAAGTCTTAGGTTTTATAAACCCCTCCCCCTTTCCGCCTAACTCCCGAACGGTGACTGTGGAGTGGACATCCTAACACCGTGTCCTTTCTCCTTCCAGCCCGTTTCTACAGACTTTGCCCAGTACAACAGCTACGGGGACGTCAGCGGGGGAGTGCGAGGTGAGGGTCCTGCGCCGGCTCGTCGATGACACGTCCACTCGCTGGGTTCATCCCGCCTGACATCCACCCTCTGCGAGCTAACAGCATTTGTTAACATCTCAAAGGATCTCTAGCGACACGGGGTCACTAGAATGAATGTGTGTGTGTGTGTGTGTGTGAGAGAGAATGAGTGAACGCTCCTGCATGTGCTCAGTGCTCAGACACCTGGCGGTGCAGTGACGGATGGCCCCCGCCTTCAGATTTGGGAGCCAGAGAGCAGCTCCGGTGACAAACGCTGTGATGGGAAATCAGAGAGAAGGCAGAGCCGCCTTCAGGGTGCCAGGGGACACTTCCGTGAGAAAGTGTTTTCACTGATAACTGAAACCCGAGCCGGCATTTCCTGCGTTTCCTGGCTTCGGGGAGGCCGAGGGGCAGTGTGTCCAGAGCAGGGAGAGGGCCTGGTCACTGGGGAATGTTTGGGCAGTTGCATAGGACATAGTCTCTCTGTTAATGTTTCCGTGTTTCTCTGTGGTCTGTCTCCGCTGACATGTTCTTTTCTTTCCTTTGCAGACTACCAGGTATGGAACGCTGTCTTTCGTGGGCTGGCCATCCAGCAGGACAGCCATTTTTCAATCCAGAAGATGCTGATTTGGGTGGATCTGTGTAATCATTAGTCCACAGCCAGGAGGAGCGGTGGGAGCAGGCACACCTGTGCACAGGTGCAGCTGTCCCTGCAGGCCTTGGGGACATGGCATGAACGAGGCCAGGTGTCGCAGGACTGTCTTGCTCTGGCCTTGAAGAGTCCTCTCTCAGGGAGAATGGTACCGGCATCAAGGGCCTGCCATGTATAGTTTAGTTTCCTTTTTGTTTTTTACTCCTCATCTGAGGATATTTTCCAATGATTTTAGAGAGAGAAGAAGGGAGAGGGGGAGAGAGAGAGAAACATCCATGCGCAAGAGAAACATCGACTGGTTGCTTCCTGTATGCGCCCTGACTAGGGGTCAAACCCACAGCCTTTTTGGTGTACCCAACGATGCTCAACCAACTGAGCCACCCGGCCAGGCCTCAGTTTATTTCCTTGGTTATAGTGACTCTGCACTTTAGGTCCTGCCTCCTTTGCCTGGTCCCATATGAAAACAAACCCCTTCCTTGGCCAGAAGGAAAGGGATGCTTGGGGACCATTCCTTTCTTCCTGCCACCCACACCTTGCAAAACTGTGACAGAGGCTGAGAAAAGGAAAAATATGCAAAGGAACAAGATTAAAAAAATAAGGAATTAACAATCATAAACTTGGCTTTTTTTTTTTTTTTTTTTTATTCCATATATTTTCATGATTGGAACCTAAATTCAGGGGCTGTTCAGTACAAGCAGGCCAGGCCATTTCCCCAACTTGATTATAAAACAGCAATATTCCTGCTCTTGTTCAGCACGGATCTCATTTTGGAAAATTCATAGTAACTAAAGTGACATCTATAAAATGGTGAAGAGGATTTGGGAGCCCACAGAGACCTCCAGCTTCCCACACTGCCGCGCCCTTCCTTGACCCAGCTTTTCTGTTGCAGACGCTCCCAGACGGCCACATGCCTGGCATGAGGATGGACCGAGGAGTGTCCATGCCCAACATGTTGGAACCAAAGGCAAGTGCTGCTCTCTGTCCTCTCGTACGGGGACGACGAGCCGGGAGGCAGTCCTAGAAGAGATTTGGTTTTCTGTCTGTTCACACCCTCAGGGGTGAAGCCCACTTGGCCCTGGGCTGGTGCATAGACAAGCCATGTCCAAAGGCACCCTGCCATCATCTGGCTCATGTTGTCACACTGAGTCGGCAGGTTTGAGCCCTCCCTGGGTGTGGTGCCCCTTGTTCCCAGGAAGTCTCAGCACATCTCCTGTGACCTTGGCATTCACGTAGCCCCTGCCATGGGCACTGCGAGGCACAGCCAGTGCTGAATGGTGCCCCCGCAGATCGCTCCAGGTAGGGTGACCAGTATGTCCCAGTTCCCCCAGGGTTTTCCAAGTTTTAGCACTAGAAGTCTTGCATCCCAGGACTATCCTCGGTCCCGGGCAAACTGGGATGGTTGGTCGCCCTATCTCCAGAACATGCTGTACCTCCAGAGGTGGCCAAGGGCTGTGCTCCCTGGTGACCCTAACTGGGACTCATCTCAGTAGGTCACGCACCAGGACACTGCTTCTGGGTCAGCCTGGCTCCGTGGCTTTGTGAGCCAGTTTTAGAACAATATGTTGAAGAATATATAAAGGTATCCTACCCCAGCATGTCCGACTGTCATTTTAGTTCTCCACCAGTTTTTATTTTCATGCCCAAGACGTGGTAAAGGTGTATTCTCTCCCACAGTGGAACCCTCCAAAGGCACAGTGCCACCCAAAACATGGGGGCCATGGGGTGTATGTAAGGACCTGTCCCCATACACTGGCACCTCAGATGCCCTAATTATAATCTTCGAAGCTCTACCTTGGGAGTACTCGATATTAGTAGATGCTGCTTATTCATAAAATGGACAGCAGTGTTTCAGAAAAGATGTCTCTTCACTTCTCAGATATTTCCATATGAAATGCTCATGGTGACCAACAGAGGGCGCAACAAAATCCTGAGAGATGTGGACAGAACAAGGCTGGAGGTAAATAAACAATCACGTCCCAGCTGCAGCTCCCTGTGCATTTCCTCCAGCTTTCCCCTAAGAAATATTTCTGTGGAGGCAAAAAAGTCAAAAAGGATCAACCCCATCATGTAGGTAGAATTTAATAATAGCTTTGAAGAAAAAATATTTGCACTTAAAAGATCAACATTAAAAAAGAAAAAAGAAAAAAAGATCAGCATTAAAATCCAGAAGAATGACCCAGGAGACCCAATCTGATTCTAGTCTTTTCTTTGGGAACTCTGGGTTACCATGGTGATGGCCAGTGGCACAGACAGGACTCTCCATCCCTCTGTGGACACCCCAGACCCCTGGGGAGTTTGTTGAGACAGGGGGAGCCGCCCAGTAAGGAGGTCTGTACCCAGCAGGTGTCTCCCGCTGCTTCCTCGTTCCTGGCTGAAGGGTTATCTGGGTACACATACCCGAGACCTCCTCAGACACGGAAGACTGATCTTTGTATTTTTCCATCTGAATGATTTTAATTAAGAAAAACCTGGCTGCCAGCCTCATGAAGAATTGTTCTTTTTCCCTGGCAAAGGCAGTGCGCTCATGTGCGAGGGCAGCCTGGCACGGAGAACCAGAGGTCCGTGTCCCGAGAGAGCTTTCCTGGGAGGGACGACAGGTGCAAGTTCTTGGTAGACCGGGCTCCCTCCACCTCCACTCCTGCGGCTGAGCCCAGGCTCCCCAAGGACCACCTTGGAAGTGTCTCTCTGGCTTTCTTATTGCTATGGTCATTTTCCCCGCATCTTCTCAATATCCCAAGGACCTGAAGTAGAGCCGCCTCCAACGTAATCACTCACCTTCCTACATCCCATCCCCATTCGGTGCTATTACAATAATCCTTAGTGCTGTGGCAGCCCTTTCGGTAGGGGGGAGGGTGCCTCGGCCGGCCCAAGTAGGACAGTGGCTGCTGGCAACCTCCGAGGTCCCCCTGTCATTCTGCTAGCTCTGGAGAGGGTTGCTTGTAAACTGGAGAGCAACTCCAAGGCCCTCCGTGTGGACACCAGCCTGACCGCGTTCTTTTCTCCCTCCGCAGCGCCACCTAGCGCCAGAAGTGTTTCGGGAAATCTTTGGAATGTCCATACAGGAGTTCGACAAGTTACCTCTTTGGAGACGCAACGACATGAAGAAAAAAGCAAAGCTCTTCTAAGCCCCACTCGTAGACAGCCATAGAAACAGGACTAACGACGGCGGTGCCCCACTGGATGTTGTGTGAAGGCTTACTCTTGACTGGAGAATTTGCAATCGACTGTCCCTCCGCAACAACCAGAAGGGAAAAAAATCTGATGAAAACACCCATGAGCCAAATATCGGGCCAACCAGTGGCAACGCTTGCCAAGAAGCAGTGGGGCAGAGATTTCTGTGTTGCCACACTCGACAGTAGCGTTCACATGTGACCTTTTCCCATCACCTTGTGCACACGGCAGGATCTCTTCTTTGTCTCCCTTTAACTGTTGTCCAACGCTAGTGCTGACTGCACAGACACGAGCCAGCAAGTGCCCTTAGGATGCCGCGGGGGAAAAAGCAGCTGCCGTAATTCCAAAGTCTGGATGTATTTATTATGGAGCCGTGTGGCTGGGAAGGAGGCGCCGGGGGACACACCCAGGGGGCAGCCGCCATTTGCACCCACCTCTGCACCTGGCCCCCGCAGGTCCCCGCCAGCAGGGTGGGAACCCGAGTGGGAACCCCGCGGCTCTGCTCACGTGGGCTGAGGAGCAGCCCCAGGCATTGTTAGCAAGCTCCTCGTCTCCTGTGGGCCAGGACCCGGTTCGCAAATTACTTAGGCATTATTAAAAAAACAGACTTTGTTTTACGAGAAAAAGAAGGTCAAGGAATGAAAGGACGAGCTCCCTCCGCTCTTTTTCGGCTTCAGATGGTGGGATTTACGCCCCACCAAGGACGGGAGCTGTCTCTGGTCCCCTCTTTACAAAGAAAGAAAAGGGAAAAATTGTCTCCAGGTTGGCACAGGTGCATGCTGTTAGGTGATTTGGGCCCAGGGGCCATGGCACTCTTGGAAAAAAAAAAAAAAAAAAAAAAAAGTTTGTATCCTTCCCATGCAAGTTCCCACCCTCTGGTCTGCATCTGACATCTGCTGAGTTGAATCTCGCTCACGCTGGTTCCGGTTTTTTCAAGGTCTTTTCAGTAGTCGGCTAAGGAAAGGCTTCGTTTTCTGTTTTAAATCCCTGCGACTCCAAGGTAGATGGCCTGAAACCGATTTCATTTGGCCTTTTTAGCTTTTCTTCTTGCCCAGCGCCGTTGAGTCCACGGTGTGTGTGCGCGCGCACATGCACTGGGCCTTCCAACTTATTTTGCAAACGGCTCTGCCAGGGTGCGCCTGAGGAGACCGCTGTGCCGTTTTGCCCCCTCGTATATATATCGGTTGCCTCTTGCTTCATTTGCTGGTTCTCCTGTCCTGCCTTCTCTCTGACTTCACCTGCATTGGCAGCCTGTGTGTCCTGGTCCTTGCTTTGCTCTGGCAAAGTGTGAGGGGGGACCACGGGGTATTCCCAGTGTTTCCCTGGGGTCAATGAAGGACCGTTGGTGTGTCTGCTGGTTAATGAGTTATGCCCACACAGATGATGTACCCATGTGAGGAAAACTGCAGTGGTAGTTGAAGAACTGAGCCCCAACCTTCCTTTTCTTGTATCTTTTGAATTCAGTTCTGCATCCATCTCAGAAGGGAGAAGGCTGCTTTCCTGGGTAGATTAGCAAATTCGGGGTGCACCAAGCAGGTGCGCGTCACCCGAAAACGCCCGTAGCCTCCTGTGTGCGGGCAGAGCTGTCCTCTGGACGGGGGCGCTGAACCTAACGTGGAGTGGGCTTCCCAACTCCACCCCCCAGCAGAAGGCTCCAGCTGGGGGACGGCTGATGAGGCAGCCTGCTTCTCCTAACTGCCAAATCCAACGTGTGGGCTACAACACTATCCGTTTTGTTAAACAGGGCTCAGCATGTTTGTCCTCAAAATGTCCAGGCCACTGCATGGGGCGATCCGTGTTCTCTGCTTGAACCCTGCCCTGCCCTGCACATAAAAATTCCAGGGTTAACCCAGTCCAGTGCACAGGGATTGTCCACTTCAGGAGTGGAACTGGACACCTGGCCAGCTCCCCTGGCGCGGACATAAGGGCTACATTTTAAAGTGTTGGGTTTGCTGGTGATCCTTTCGGCACTGAGTGTATGGAGTAATAGAGGCCTCTGTGGCGCTATGAGCATCAGTGCTTCCTTTAAAGTTTCTTCCAGAAGAGCCAGGGTTCCATTTAGTCTCCCTGTGTGACTTACGACGAGACATAAAGAGCCTCTGGGTACATTTGTACAGCTAGCTCTGCACTGCAGTCTGGGGTAGTGATGAAATGTCCGTAACGCGACTCCTTCGATGACTCAGTCAGCTGCCTGTTCTCCGAAACCTTGACCAGAGAAGCTAGTGTTAGTGGGCAGTAAGGCGCAAGCAAAAGGAAAACCGCTGTGATCTGTCCTGTCCCCTGTCCCCCCGCCTTCTCCCCGTTCTCTTGTTCCCAAGCGGAGGTTCCCCTTCTGAGGTGAGCCCGGAGCAAGGCTTCCTCAGCCCGCACGCTCGCAGACGGGTTGTCCATCAACTCTCCTTGGAGAAGTTCTTCGCTGGAAATGTTTATAAAACGTGCACCTAATTTCTTTACACTTGAAAGCAAACGCCTTTTTCTAAAGAATCGCTTCTGAGATGGTTATATAAAAAATACATGCTTTTGCTAGTGGAAACAATTCAAAGTAACCACTTTTGATTAAGCAAGTCTTTCTAAAAACTTTCAAGCAAACCTGGTGTTAGCCTTCTCCTGTGTGTTGAAGGGGCGGTGAGCCCACCGGCTTGGTCTCTGACCTCTGCGTCCTCAGCCCTCTGCGTCCTCAGCCCTCTGTGTCCTCCCTCTGTGTCCTACGAAGCAGGCTCAGGTTTTACAAATCACTCTTGTATTTTTGGTCACGGTTGAATCAGTACTTCCTAAGCCAGGCTTGATTTCAGCTGATGTTTAAAATTATTTTCTTTGACACACCTAATGTTCATCAGTATGCCCTAAAATTCACTCGTTCGTGTTCCTTTTTGAAGAATGTTCTAGCCAGAAAAAAAGAGATTCTTTTGGACTTGAGATTTGCAATGACACCACCTCATAGGGATGATGTTTATTAAGGGGACTGCTGTGTTATAATGAAGAGAAGGAAAAACTTTTAATCTGGCATTAAAAAAAAAAAATCACTGTCTTTCCATGTGCCGCTCAGGAAACGGGGGGGGGGGGGGGCGGGCATGGTAACTGATACGCTTTGCATATGAATTTTTGTGTTTTCCTTTGGGCCGGTTTAATTAATGGCAAGCTCCAAACGAAAAGGGGAGATGGATAGTTTAAGCAGAAAGAAACTTTCTAAAGAAGTTTTATGTGCACAGGAAAATTAAAGAAATCCAACATCCGATTCTCCACGTACTTGAGCGGCGACTGTTATCTTGAGATGACTTTCTTCCCCAAAGTGTCTCTCCAAAGAGTGAAGATGCGGGGTCACTTTGTGAGCCCACTCCGGGCAGGTGGGAGAGGAGACGGCAGAGCCGTGTTTCTTCACGCTGCGGAAGAGGGGCTGCCGCGGGATGGATGCTCCGGGGGGGGGAGGGGGGGATGTAACCGGTGTGTGTGTTCTGGGGGCTGCCGGCAACCCTGCCTCGAAGGTCTCCCAGTTCTTTCTGTGTCAGTTGGGTTCATGGGAAAATGTTTTCAAGAGTTGGACAGTCTGCTCTCTTTCCCGCCCCCTCCCCCTTTTCAGAACGACGAAAGCAGATATTTGGAAGGACCGCTGTGTAAAAGATGTGTTGTGTCCCCCGTGAAAGTGAGTGGGTGTCCGCCCGCACCCCGAGTACCGTGCTGCTCTGCAGAGGCGGCCAGCGGCCCACGTGGCCGAGCGATCGGGTCCCACCTCCTCCACGCGCCTGCGCAGCAGCACCGCCCCTCTGCGCTGTCCCCGTCTGTTACCCTCACGACTCGGAGAATAAAGTGCGTGCTTTGTTCAGAGATGCCTCCGTGCCTCCTTGCTTGCTTGTTCCCCGCTCCCTCGGAGGATCGGTCCCATTTGTCAAAGCCCCACCCACTTTCCAATAACCCAAACGAAATCAGAATCAAAGCACATCCTTGGGAATGTGGTTCTGCCCCGTAGGAAGGCGGGTCAAAGAGGGAAATGCAACCAAATAGTCATGGTGTCGTCCAGGGCTGGTTGTCGGATCACCCAGACCCTGTGACCAAGTCGACTCAAGGAAAACACGCTTCACCCAGCTCTTGCGCTGGCTGGTGTCTGACTTGGTGACACAATCTCATCTTTTAATTTTTGTGTAGTTTTCACTTTTTCCATCACTCTTTATCTCCCTGTGCCCTCTTCCACCTCCCCCACCCCATCCCACCCCACACTGTTAATCTCGTCTTGTAGACAAGGCTGGGCCTGGGGGAGGTTTGGATCTACTTATACTCAACTGCTCCTGGCCGGCTGCTGTGTGTATCAAGCCACTGGGCTGCTGCAGCAGGACACTGTGGGCGGGGGGGGGGGGGGGGGGGGGGGGGGGGCCCGAGCAGCAAGCATACCGGCAAGGTGCCGGCAGGCCAGGCGCCTGGGGAGAGCCTGCGGGGTTAGTCTGGTGTCCTCACGTACACAGTAGTGAGAGGAAGCAAGCTCTCCCCTGTCTCTACTTATAAGGGCACTAATCCCATCATAAGGGCTCTATCCCTCAGTCTAATTACCTTCTGAAGGCCCTACCTCCTAATACCTTCCTATTGGGGGTTAGAGTTTTAACCGGGATTGGGGGGCACACAAACATGCAATCCGTCACCCCTGCTGGGGACCAGCTGACATTCAGTAGACTCTCACAGAGAAGTTGGAGAAGGTTCTTCTCAAGACAGCTGGCACTTCTAGGTCACTGCTGTGGAGGAGACGTCAGGACACCCTAACTGGAGGTCTGTGTTCTGCTAACTTCCACCTCTACCCGCAGCAGCATCACCACTCTGGTCACATGACTCCAGTCCTTGTCTTGCACTTTCTGTGACATTTGCCATTGTTGATCACCACTGCTCTGAAAATCGACTCCCTGCCTCCCTCAGTGGGTAGCCCTCACACACAGCAAGGCTCACAAGACTACATGGGGAACCAAGGCCCTTCATGACTGACTCTGTGCAGCGTCCCCTCCCCAAGTGCCCCACCTTCCAATCTTGCTCTCCAGCTCCAAACCACGGAGCGTTCCCTGAGCACACCGGGCCCTCCCCGCCTCCGCCGCTCTGCCAGGGGCATTTCTTCTGTACGGTGTCCGACTCTCCAAGGCGGTGGAGAGCAGAGAGGTAACGGCTGTTTGAAATCAGTGGCCCAAAGCTCTCTGCAGTTACCGTGTGAATTTCCCATGGGCTCCATTGCCCTAAATCAAAGATGAGCCTGAGTTCACAACCTCTCTATGAGCCTGTCTTGATGGGCCCAACCCAACCTGCCCAGTAAATTCTCTGCATGCCTGTCACTGAACATCACATTTGACACTTAAAGTGTTGCCAGTACAACTAGCTTTGCGTGTCTCTGCGCCTCTGATGACGTGTAGCGAGGTCTCTGCAGTGAGTGCCCGGCATTGTGCTAACCGGATCCCTGCAAGACATGTAGCTGCACTGTCCAGGCGAGAAACACTGTCCAGGGCTCAGAGGCCAGAGAAACATGCCTGATGACTCAGCCAGCGAGCTGCAGAGCTGGGACTACCCAGACAGGTCCCATTAAAATCCCGTGACATTTTCCTCGGCGTCCCACTGCCTGACCTTCCAAAGCAAGGACTGTGTCTCCTACAGTCTCAGCCCCCAGGTACACGGCACAAAGCAGGTTCTCCGGGTGAGGCTGGCCAGTTCCCTTCAGTCTGGCCGTGAGCCCCATCAAGACCACCAAGGCCTGGTGATGAACAACAGGTGGGGGTACTCACTCCCTGTGTCTCCAGACCAGTTATTTAGCCTCTCTAGGCCTCAGTTTGTTCAACTACAAAACAGACAGAATAATA